CTGCATGTGTCTAATTTACACATTCTGATTCTTTCATTTAAAACAGCAAGTCAGCCGGGCGCGGTTGCTCAAGCCTGTAATCCCAGCTCTTTGGGAGGCCAAGGCCGGTGGATCACGAGGTCAGGAGATCGAGCCCATCCTGGTCAACACGGTGGAACCCCGTCTCTACTAAAGCTACAAAAAATTAGCTGGGCATGGTGGCGCGTGCCTGTAATCCCAGCTGCTCAGGAGGCTGAGGCAGGAGAATTGCCTGAACCCAGGAGGCGGAGGTTGCGGTGAGCCGAGATTGCGCCATTGCACTCCAGCCTGGGTAACAAGAGCGAAACTCCGTCTCAAAACAAACAAACAAACAAACAAACAAAAAAAACAGCAAGTCTCAGTATCTCTGCTGGAGCTCCGAGCAGGGCAGGCTGAGGGCTCAAGCTGTAACTCAACTCCTCTGAAAGAAACTAAACCCAGGGCTGAGCTGAGGCCGAGTTTTCTGTTGCTGCATTCATACAAATGGTGAAAATGCAGCATAGCTCCCTTGAAAGCCTGAAATTAAAGACATGCCCCCAATTTCATGTGATCACTCAGAGAAATAGGTTTCAGACACTTCATGGTTTAAAGTCTCACAAAGTAAAGCTTTCAAAGGATCCAGTTGTATATGATTTTTTTGAAAACAAGAAGCAGGCTGGTCCGAGTACAGTGGGGTTTACACTGATTGATTACAACCAGTTACAGATTTCTTTGTTCTTTCTCCACTCCTGCTGCTTCACTTGACTAGCCTTTAAAAAAATAAAACAGGCCGGGCGTGGTGGCTCAGGCCTGTAATCCCAGCACTTAGGGAGGCTGAGGCAGGTGGATCGCCTGAGGTCAGGAGTTCGAGATCAGCCTGACGAATATGGTGAAAGCCTGTCTCTAAAATAAAATAAACCAAGAAACATTCTTGTCCTTGGTAGCCGCACATTCTGTTGTGATGCTAGTAACTCGCTGGGCAGGTGTGGGAGGCCCTAAGCTCACAGATGCTCAACCCAGTAAGAAAAATCTCAGGAAAATAGCTTCATTAGCTATTTCATGTCCCACGTTCATACTCACCATAGAAACTGTGTTATGTGTGGTCACAGGCCTTCAATGACAAAAGAAGGACTCTAAGCTGTAAGGAAAAATCATTCACTGAAATCTTGTGCACATGTGCAGCTGCAAGGGGGGCCCAGGAGCCAAGGCCTCCTGAGACGTTCCCGAACAGCCCGGCTCACGTCTGACTGACGAGGGGCTTCGAGTAACGGCTGAAAAAGACAAAACCATCCCATACTGACCGATTCCTGCCACCAAAGTTTACGGCAAACACTGAGCCAGTGTAACAGAAGATAAAACAAGTGGTACATTCAAGACAGTTTTAATGTGTGTGCATTAGAAATATCACTCTTAAATGGTGACGATTACTAGCGAGGTAACCATCTTCCCCAATTGCAGAATTACATTGTTTATACCTAT